AATTTTGGCAGCAAAAAAATTGAAAGTGTGATTTTCGGACCAACAATGTTGAGCAACAGAAGACTTCTGTGTTTCCTTTTTTCTAACATATGCCTCATGTTCTTTGACGCGAAATTTTAAGGCTCTCTTAGTTTGGCCAATGTAAATTAAACCGCACTGGCAAGGAATCCTATAATACTCCAGGAATTCATATCCGGAATGGGGTCCTTGAGTATAGAAGTTGGAATTTTATTGATGGGAGAGTAAACAACCCGAAAGTTAAATTTCTGCAAAATATGTGCAACTTTATAGCTAATTGATGGAAAGAAGGGAATGACAACAGAATTTTTATAATCTCCTAAAATAAGAGTGTGGCTTTTAGTGTGTTGAGATGAGAATTTTTTAACTGCTTGATTAATAATGTTGGGTGAAAAGCCCCTGTCAATAGCTATTGCTTTTAAATAATTTAGTTCTTCATCAAGGGCTAGTTTGGAGGAGCAAACTTGAAGAGCACGGAAAACATAGGAATAAAATGAAGCTAACTTTTGTTACTAACTTTTGTACTGTGAAAATTTTGTAAATTAACGCTGATTTTTGTTGTTTGACTTCTGAATTAGTAAATGCTGAGTAAGTTTCAATAAGTGTACTGAAAATCATTTGAATTAAATATATATATATATATATACATATATATATATATAACGCGAAAAAAAAGCATCGGCAAATACTAGTTTCTATAAAAAGTGGTCAGCGAATGTAAATCTTTTTAAGATTTTAATATATTTAAAAATTCTTAGATGCTTAAAAACTGAAAAAAATCTATGTAAAGATCATAAAATAATACGTGACTTCTTGAAACGTGAATCATTAGTGCCCCGATAACATAACATAAACAGGCGAAAATTATCGCCAAACACAGCTGATACATTCTTCATATTTTTTTTCCAATGATCTTTATGATATATGTTTACATATCCATTAGTATGATATAAAATGCCTATAAATATTAACTAATCATAATTAAAAGAAGTACTAAATAGAGTAGATGAATTATTCGCAGTCTAGTTTTCTATACGAATGGCAGCTTTCCACAGTCACCTATGTGATGGATTTTTAGGAAAATAGAGCATTTTTATTTTAGATACTAAATTAGTTTTAGCTACACAGCCAACAGCCACACAACACTGACTCGATTTTCTTTTACGCATACTTCTGTATTTATCAGAATTAAAAAAAAAAAGTAACAAACACTTCTAAAATAAATTCACAACAACAACGTAAACAAACGCAGCAATACCGAAAACGGAACCTTCCGGGGTAATCGCGACGTGAGCGTCCTCTTTGTTGAGCTTTACAGAAAACTTCGTTAATATTAAAAATGATAGATAATTTTTAATCAAAAGAATTATTCCTTCATTGTCAGTGTTAATACTAGTCATTGTGGTTAATTTTAATGCATATATAAGTCGTATGTAGAATTGTATTTCTATATCATACAGATTTTAAATTTATTAAATAAAACTATACACTATCGAATAGAGCACTAACCTTGAAAAGGATGATGTTACGTGTACTCGTTATGTTTCTTAAAAAGCATAATTTTTTTTCAAGTTCAGAGGTAGTGATTTTCTTTATTTATTCACCTTTTTTCTTTATTCATTTTACAAGACAAAATGTTATAAATTTATACATTTAGTTTTATATACATACATAACTAAATAATTTTCTTTAGTTAACATAATACTTACGGTGATATGCGACTTTTTAAAATTATGAAGCGTCTGCCTAAAAAGTGCATTGGGACTTGACAATTTTAAGGGAATAACAAAAGTGGAAATACGAAAATCCGTACATCAGAAAGAATATATTTGATTTATTTAAATATTTCTTTGAAACGTTTGATTTAAATTCAGTCAGTTTCAGCAGCTGAAGGATTTATTTATAATCATACTCGTATATGATCAAGAATATTATTTTTATATTTGGGAAAACATTAGCTATAGACAGCTATATTTCTTAAAACGGATTTATACTTTTTATTAGAGTATCAAAAATATTTTTATCTAACTCAAAAACAAAAGTCTACGCTTCCTTTTTTAGGTTTTTTTTTTTTTTTTCTTTTTGGTAATAAAACTTGAAGAGCAAAGTTGTCTACAATTTCCTACTCAGGTACCTGGCTTACAAGCAAGTACAACCAACAGCTTCAAAACAGTAATAATTATAAAAATAATAAGAACACTAAAATTTTCTGTTGATGTTAACATCATAGAAATATGCAATCCGTATATTTTTTTAATGTTTGTGTGACTTTTTATGCCAAGAAATGATTTTTCTGGAAATTGATGTTCCTATAATTTTTTAAATGAAACAGCTCAATGAAAGCTAAATTGTTAAATGTTTTCTTTCTCATAAAAATTAATTTTAAAATGATGAAAATATAGGATACGAAATGCTAAAATTAAAGGTGCTGAATTAAAAATATCGAGGTATAGCTGAATATCTCAAATAAAATAAAAATCGTTTAGTTTCCTTTATTTTCTGCATTGTGAAAAGAATAGGCATATTGATACTCGCATATTTAAAATAAAGTCATAGGAAATGTCTGTCTTACTTGTGAACGTTGATGAACGATATGAGCTTAGTCTGATTGACCGGCGGGCAATGCAAAAGGAATTCTAAGGTCGCTTGCATTCTAAGGTCGCCTTTTAATCATTCACTCTGGAGTATCACGTTTCAGCCCATTTAAAAATTAATGCAGTATCAGCTGTTATAAGAGTCTTAGTTTACCTTTGAAATATCTGTTTAGGTAACGAACGAGACAATAATTGCGAATTTTATTATCAGGCTTTCCTGAAATTTGCTTCTAATGCTCAGTGATCGAGCAGAATTCTGTAGCAGGATAAAATAGCATTCACGTGAACTCAGTATTACAACAATAATTAGAGAGCTATAATCAATGATAGATTCCAGTAATTGAAAAATATTAAAAAACAAATCCGACAACAAATAAATTACAATCGGAATAAATCTGTGAATCATATATACTATAATAAAAACAATTATTTCAAAATAACGTTTTTTATATTACTTTACATTATGTATTTGTTGGCTGGTAATCAAAATAGTGCCGAAAAAGTAACTGCGAAATTTAATTTGTATAGCTTTAATAAACTCAAACTTCTTCTACCAAATATAATACAATTAATGTGTAAAACATTTAAAAGAACATATCCGAACTGTTGTTTATCAGCTGAAATCCATGACAACTACAACGCTATATCATGCTGCTAAAGCTATCATCTATCATCCGGCGTGAGATCAACCCGCAACTTTACATCGTGTTGCTAGCGTGGCCATTAACCCTTTGTTGCATACAAATAATCTAGAGAAGTTAAATAAAAATGTTTGTATTTTTTTCTACTGAAAAGAACCTTATTAATAATAAAAAAAATAATTTTATTCAAATTTCGTTTTAAATAATTGCTACAGTTTGTTCACTACAGTGGACAGCATGCATTATACGTACATGCATACAAATCTCTTCCCAACGATTTACGATCATTGCTTATGAATAAAAAATGGCAGTACAAAAAAATGTAAGTATTATTATATAATGCTTACTATGAGAAATGGTACTAACTTGCAAACAGCAGTAGCAGCCATTTTCCAAATAGCAATGCTTTACTTAGTGATGCTATACAGTCATCTATGATCGACAGTTGGAAGTTCTAATTATATAGAATGAATAAACACAGGAATGAAATCTGTTAAAGCATTTCCAGAAGAATAAACAAATTTAAACTTTTGTCTACTAGAGTAGACATGATGCAACAAAGGGTTAAGCGTGATAATAAACATAATCCCACCATATCAGGACTCAGTCCTGACACAAAGGTAGAAGCGAAAGTTCGTTGTTTTAAAAGTTTCTTTGAAGACATCCTCCTACCCGTAAGAGACTGTCTTTGCCTTTGAATGGATAAAGGGAACGCAAGTTACTTTTCTTGGGTGAATGTTTCTTTATCCTTGATTCAATGTTCTCGCCAAATGTTTAGACGCTGCGCTAAACGCAATCTCAATCTATTCTTCATTGAATTCTTTACGCTGACCGCCAGTTTCAGTTTTATTCAAACGCTTTCTCCTGGATTAAATTCCAGCAATCACAACAGGTCTCACGCCGATATGAAAACGGATATTTTAAAAAATGCAACCCTTTTCCAAGAATTCCAACCGATGAAAAATAGACTTTCTTTTCAAGTGCATGGATCACGGGCTGCAGAGCCTTTCGACAGCGTATGAGAAACTGACGCTTGCAGAAAATTTAAATATATTATTCTGTATTAATGTGAAAGCTACATAAAAGTAGAGATTTGTTTTTCTATGAATTAATAATTTTACCGACATTTTATGAAAATTCTCTCTGTTACTACCCCCCCCCAAAAAACAGGTAAATCGATATCGCAGATGATATTCTACTAGAGATTTATAGGCAGCCCAATATGATGACGTTCGAAATGTACACAGTTTTATTTATTTTTTTATGAAAGGCGTCTGTTTAAGTTTTTGAGCTCATTAATTACTTTTTTCAATCAAACTGTTCAACAAGAAGGAGTAGTTAAATTCATAGCTGTCGCTTATTTCTCACTTTTTTAACTATCTTGATGATATTTCAGGTAGAATTTTGTACGGTAGTTTTAAGCTTTCTTTCTTTACCTTAGAATTTTGCAATTTCTCATCTCAATATTCTTAGAATTTTGCATAATTGTAATAATCATCTTAATTTTTATTTCAGTTCCAGTCTTTTAAAATATAGTTTATACTAATGCGACTAACTAAACAATTAAGTTATAGAACCATATTTCGAAACATTTTTATATATTTTCTATATAGCTGGTTACCTTAGCACATGTAAGATCTATATCTACATGCATCATTATTCTATTTTTTAAAAAGTCCTAGAAACTTAATAATTAAAAAATTAAACTTTTCTCAAATACAAAATGAAATATATTTTTAGCACTTACTTGTATTCCATAATTAGATTCTTCGTACAAAATGGATATGTAAGTCCAGTTTAAACGCTTGATGATTTGAACCATTGCGTCTGCTTGGTTTGTATCTGATGGTACTGTTCTCAGGAAATACTCAAACCGCTGTTTGTTGCTCAATTCTGGGCTAGTTGAAAAGAAGCTGACCTATGATAAAGAATCATTTTGTGTTAAATAAAACAAGTGAATACAGCTAACTGGTGAAATTAATATAAGAAGTGAAATTGTGACTACTATTAGACTTAGCGATAGGGTTATAAGGAAACTTATATTAGCTGGATACAATTCGTATATGTAAGTTCTTAACTATAGCACGTACATTAAAAAAAAGTGAAAATACACTGATAGATGCACAGATATATCCCACATACAGATATACCCTGTGATACACAGCCCATGAGAGTTAACTACTTAGACGCTATTTAGTTTATTTGCTGTGATGAGACCAAATTTTACAAAAACTTAACCATCTCTTACAAAAGAAAGATGTATATACTTCTAAACTGCTAGTTGGTCAAAAGGCAAATGTCAGTTGCGGAACAAGACAGATTTAGTCGATGCAAATTATAGCTATAAGCTATTTTGGGGGGGAAAAAACTTCATCTACCCAACAAGGCGGAAAATAATCTTCCTAATTTTGTTTGCTTCTAAACTGAATCATACGAAATTAAAAAATGAGAAAGGTAAAGAAAAAGAAACATGCATTCGTACTTAGTTCAAATGAAACATCACAGTGTCCCACGTTCAGACATGGTTCGCTGCACTACGGACTACTGCGAAACAGGTTTCAAAGGCTTCATGTCCAAAGCTACGGTTTCAGATATACAATTAATTCTAAAATGATGAAAATGAGATTAATGGAGCCCTGTAGCACTTGGTGGAATCAAATAAACGTCATTGAAATGACAATATACCGATGTGAACTTTCAATATAATTTGCTATATGCAAAATAATTAAGATATCTTAGTTTTTAAATCTTCCTTGAAATACCCAAGCGTAATGATTGTTTAATTGCTTGCAGCAAACTCACAAGGGCTTCATGAAGTTTCTACTAAATTCTTTACGGTAGTAGTTAGGATATATATATTGGGAAACTGAAGAATAAATTTTGTTGCCATTCGTTTTGCTATTCAAATATAGTGTTTACTTTAAGCAGCTAGTTTTTCAAAATTTTAGCTACTTAACCATAAATCGGTAATATGGTCATTAGGAACATTGGGGAGTCTGCATAATTTTTGTTGTTTTGTCATCACATTACTGTAGAGGTGTATTTTGTAAACAGTGAAGATGATATATTATGCTTAAATGTCTTTAAATAGTTTTCCTCACTACTGACTGAGTGATTAAGACACCCGAATACGAGTAGTTAAACTCTTTGTATTTCGATACCCCAAAACGGAACGAAAGCATGTTAGTTTTCATTGCTTTCTCCATGCGTAAGGTGAATTCGAGCCGGTTTCTCTCAAAACGTGCTCCACAAAAGCATCCCTCCTCTTAGGTAGACCCATCATCGGCTGAGTGGTAAAGTCGCTGAACATTCGTAGTTCCGACCTGGGTTCGATTCCAGGCGAACGGGCTGACTGCATTGGTGCTTTTAGTAATTTTCCCCATGCTTAACTTGTATACGAACCAGTTTTCGCTAAAACGTCCTTCACGAAGCCTCCCTCTCCTTAGGCAGATAGCCTTCAAGCTTTGCCATAGTTAAATAAACCAAACCTCTTGGGCACATAATCCTCGTGGCTGTGCCAAATTCAAATAGCCTAAACGTTTAAGTAGTTAAAAAGACCATTTCAGAATAGTACTTCGAAAGTTGTATTACACCAACAAAAGTCTACTTAGTGTTTGGCTGAATGATAATGATGTCATGATGATAAAATGGCATATACTAAATTACAGCTTTCCGTGTGCAAAGTAAGGCGTTTTATGCTGTAATCACGTAATAAACAAGCAAATTGTGTCATATCATACATGAGTATAATGTTTGTGCTATTCGAATCACCCTCTTTACGCTGTACAACGCAGTTGCATTGGGTCCGGAATAATCATATCTTCATGATCATGACAAACACTGTGTTAACTCCCCTCTAAGACAGAAAACAACATTAACAAAGGGCCAGACTATGTGCGTTGCGATCGAGTGACTGGTGTATTCAGATGTTTCGAGCTGATGCATGTTATATAAAAAATAGGTATCATGTGTTTATGGATTCTTCTTGTAAGTAATATCAGCTCAGTGATTCACTGATTTCTTGACGATGAAAATTTCCATATGTAGTTATAAGCACCCAAAAATTGTTTGGGTTCGAATGGAACATCGTACTATATACGTCTGTTTTTTTTTTTATATCTTGTAGAGATTTATATTTATTTTAACTAATTTACAATTTAACAAGTTAAATTTTAATTTTAAACTTTACTATAAATTTTCCTATAACTTTCCCATAATTTTAATTTTAAACTTTTCCTGCTTTCATTGCCCTAATTTGTCAATGTCGTAATATTTAAATTTGGTAGCGTGCGTGAACTAATGCAAAGTCTATCTTGTGAAGAAAGAGTTTAAAAACCGAGGTTCAGTAGAAAAGTTTGAGAGAGTTAAGCTATTGACGTTACCTTCCTTGCGTGAGCTTGTACTTCCAGAGTTATTGCTGGTTTACGTGGCATAACTGCATTTACTTGCTGCCACAAGTTCAATGCGGGCGTGAGAAAAGGAATTATCTGAGCCCTGTATCTTAGTTCTACTACTTGTGCATATCTTCGAAATTTTAGTACAGTTTTGTGATTTCAGTTACCGTCCAAGGGAGTGTATTGTGCTAGCGTCGAGTTTACGTATTGTAAATTTTAAAGAGTTAGTAAGAGATACTTTTAATACTTCTTCTGTATAGTTTCTACCAGAACTTACTGCACGTTCGATTCTCTCTTAAAAGTTAGACAAGAACATTCTACAATCTGATCCTACATTCTTCATTCCGATGTTTTAAGGCTTTCTCACGTGAAAGATATACCGTATACCATATGTAATCAGGTAAGCTTTAACGCGTGAATTTATAGGCCAGAATTTTGTCCCGCTAGTATTTCAGTGATGCAAATGGCAGCATATATCATTACTCATTTGCTAATAAATTGTTCATTGAAACTGTAACGACTTAACGTTAAATAAATTGAAACTGGCAGAGAAATGCACAGATGTAAAATTTAGAATTAGGCAAAAAAGTAACCTTTCCTTGGTGTAGAGTTCTCAGAAAACTCTATTGGTTTCAAGTCCGAATACACATAGGGTCCTCTTCTTCACTGGCAAATTTTTATCCTCCTTGTTGGGAAATTTGCATTCTCCTTGCTTCTGCGAAGTACTGAAGATGATAAGAAGTGCTACATAATCTTGCCTATAGAAGCCAAGGCTGTTTGAGCCGTTCTGATGTGACTATACGTTGTCTGTGTCGTCCTTGTTAAAAATGTTATAGAAGAGGAAAGTAGACGTGGCTCTCTCCAGCGTAAAACAGTGATGTGATGCATGGAATCCTGTTATGCAATGTACTGACGAAGCAATCTACCAGAGTGCCCATTACAGCAGTTACTGTTGTGTAGATAATTGTCTGATCGCGTTATAAAAAACTAGGTGAATGATTTTCTGATTTAAGAAAACTTATAATTTTATTTGATTCTGAATTATTTATTTTAATGCTTTAATTTTGAGGGAAAACAGATGCTCCTAAGAATATTTATTTAGTTTCAAAGAATATTATTTATTTTCCTTTTATTTGCAATTTTTGTCCAAGCTTTGATTCATTGTGAAAAGAAGCAGGGAAGGGAGGCGATTTTGCTAAGCTATGATATCGCGCGTTTTGTCCTTTAGAATGTTCTAGAAGACATTTCATTTGTGCAATTGACCTTTAGGATAGGAAGTACGTGACAGAAGGGTCAGAGGTTTCCACTTAACTTTCCATGTAAGTCATTCTGGTTTTGGCAATCGGGGGTCCGGTTGTTGGCTAAGTGAAGAAGGGCGCTCATGTGCGATCACCCTAATTCGGTCATTCGGGGAAAGAAACGCAAATTTTGTCCAGATTAAGGGGGCGATAAATGAAGCCATTGTGGGAACCCGTTTTTGTGGAGGAGACGAAGAAAATTCGAGTTTGAATCACTTTGGGGACTGATCTTTTGACTAAGACTTCGACTTCGAACTTGCTCTTGGGTTGAGCGATAGAAAGGAGGAGATGTAATTTCGTCGTGAGATGTGCTTCCGGCGGGGAGCGGCAAATATGCTCCCCGGCCGCGGGTTTCGCAAAATGCGAGGGAGAAAGAAAAAAAAATAACAGAGACTTTACTTTTGGACTGACTTTTCAACGGTTAAATACTGTACTTGGAGTTCTTGGTGATAAATAAAGAAAGGTAGTTCGTCTTCCAGTTGTGCCTACGGCGGGGAACGGCAGTTATGCTAGCTTGCCACATGTTTTGGAAAAAAATGCGAGAAGAGGACCTTGGGTGTCGATCTCCTGAATTATTGAGCGAATTCCTCTGACTTTTTACTTGTATCGTCTGAATATAGGTGACCCCTTGATTTGAAGGAGAAGGAAAGAGGAGGGCACGTTCGGACAGTATTCCTGAGAATACAGAGGCAAAAATTCATGCTGGAATGGTTCGTGTTCGGACTGGTTCCTGAAAAGATACGGGCAGTTTATACTTCAGTGGCTCGCGAACGGACTGTATTCCGGAAAGATTAATGGATGTCGTTTAGCCAGGTGTTTCATGTTCCACTTCAAGATGATTACCCTCCAGATAAGAATTTCTTTTTGTTATCAATTTTTCCTATGAAATTTTTGAATTTGGACTTTATACTTAAATTGAATCTCTAAATTAATTCTAAATGGCTAAAATTTGCCTCCTTTTTTCCCCTTCTTAATTTACCGAGACAAACAGGAAAGTCGTAATAAATAATTGTGGAGTAAAAATATAATTTGTTTTGTGAAATCCTCCTTAGAATAGATGTTCAATTTCAGATAATGTGTTTCTTTTAACATCCTAGAAATTACAGCAGTAGTTCAAGTTAAATTAAATGAGTCATAAAGTAGATTTGCAAATCCTTGATTTAAATGTTTAATAAATGATAAATTGAAGAATTCACTTGTGTAACTAAAATAAGAAAATT